CAGGGGAAGCTTTCTGCGCTTAAGCCACGACAACTAATGCCGGTCAGATCAGAATGAAGCGTGGGGGCCTACTAAGGAGCCATCGTGGTTGGGAACTATCTACAACACGTCACGTTCGACTCTGCTAGGTCTTGCCGAGTCTTGAGATTTCTAGGCTGAAGATTTAGTCCCAACAGATGGGACTCCTCTTTTTGAGGGCACTCAAGACTCGACGAAACCAAATCTAAAGATTGTCAGGAGCGTCGTAAGATCGTGGACAAGATGCACTCGATGAAATCAGTCACTGGCTTTGTGCCAGAAGCGTGCCTCAACAAGCTGTCAACTTGCCTCAGGACTTGCAGCATGTCTCGGTCCCGGAATCCTTGCTCTGTTTCGTGAATCGCTCGCGGAGAACCGATACGCGGCCAGTTGCAAAAGTCTACGAGGGCGACGAGTCACGACTAGCTACCATCGAGGCTGAATCATGCCATTTAAATTAAAACATATTTACCTCTTTCAAGATTATCAATAGCCCACATCAGGAACCAGTAACCTGAACCGTAAAGAGCAAGCTCCGATTTTTCCAGTTCAGCGACGTGCTCTTCTGGGTCCACGACCAGGAGCCCAGCAAGGCCTCGTGTGGGGCTTGAGCGGAGTCGAAGAGGGGGTGACAGAAAACTCAGCAGCTGTTCCGATTCTCAGAAACTCCTTCGACTCGCGCCCAACGGTGCAAAGAGGTGTGCACCGAGTAACAGTACAATGCTGACATGGACAAGCTACGAGTTACCAGCTGCGGCCTCAGGATCTACCAGCAGAGCTGTGTCTTCACATCGACCCTCTGGCTGCAACATCCTCCACCTCCCATTCCTCCAAGAGCCTTGCGCCCTTTGTTTGTGCTGCCCCTTGAAGAGAGGAATTGGTTCATGCCCTGGATGCAGCAGCGCAAGCTTGCAGACTTCCTGTGTTTGGGCTTGCTGCAGATGATGTCTCGGCCATACTTCTCGTGCTCGCACTCCTCTGTCTTCTCACATGATTGCAGGAGCTCTTTCAAGTCAGAGCTTTTTGCCACTGCGACCTCTGCTTGTCCGATGGACGAACCAACTGCAAGAATCAGAAGCAAAATGAAGCGAAACATCAAACAACCTGAGGCTGGGGGATCTGGGCGCGATCTAGCTTTCGAGCCAATGGCGATCTGAACACAGAAGCACTGCGGTACATCGCATATGAAACGGCATTGCCGAGCACACTTGCGATTGCGATGCCAGCACGTCTGGGTGCAACTTGCCCCTGAAAACCCTAAACCCTAAACCCTAAACCCTAACCCCTAAAGCCTAAACCCTAAACCCTAAACCCCCGGATGCGCACGCTCTCAGCTGATGCGGAGGTCCTTCTGCCTGCTGCGGGCTCGGCGTTGGAGATGTTTTTGGCTGGGGCGCTCGCAACTTGCACGAGCGACACAGACGCGTCAGAGAGTGGGTTTCGGGTTTAGGGTTTAGGGTTTCGGGTTTAGGGTTTAGGGTTTAGGGTTTAGGGTTTAGGGTTTAGGGTTTAGGGTTTAGGGTTTAGGGTTTAGGGTTGGTTTAGGGTTTAATTAGGGTTTAGGGTTTTGGGTTTAGGGTTTAGGGTTTAGGGTTTAGGGTTTCGGGTTTAGGGTTTAGGGTTTAGGGTTTAGGGTTTAGGGTTTAGGGTTTAGGGTTTAGGGTTTAGGGTTTAGGGTTTAGGGCTTGCAGGTTTCAGGCGGAACAAGAAATTCGTAACTCTACTGCCCGGGCTGGAAGCCCTCCAGGCCCCAGTAAATGGCGAGAAAGCTCAAACCAGGAGGCAGGAGAACCCACAGAAAAGTACCTCCCAAACCTCGACACCAAACCATGGCAGACCCGAGATTCCCACATCCGATGACGCGAGCTCCAGCACCAATGTGACTGCTCCCGACGTTGGAGCACCGAACGCGAAAGTGATGTGAACCGGGTCTTTCACTCAGTTTCATGGCTTACATTCCTATGTCTTCACTGCTGTGCCCAACAGATGTTTCAAACATGCCTGCTGAGGGCTTAGGACTTGTGATGCTAGGTGTCCAAAAATTGCCGGTTCAATTTTAACTGTGTCTACGCAAGTCCAGAGGCCTTCCATGCCAGAGGCTGCGGGGGGCCGTCCAGCACACCTGACGGGCCACCTGAAAGAGCCCCAGCACGCGCGTTGGCGCATCGCCGTGCTGTCATATGCCCGGCCCGGCATGTTGGCCTAAAGCTCTGCAGGGGCCCTCCCAGCCCGCACACCCGGCCAGTGGTGTGAGAACAGGCACTTGTACGGGCCAATGCCATGTTCTTTGGTAGGGCGCCTGACGTTCAAAATAATCCAAGTGCAGGTCATGAATCATGATCCCCTGCTCTGAGGCTGCTGGGTTTGCTTTGTGGAAGCCGACAAGATGCGCATGAAGACGAGGAACACGTTGACGCATTGTGCGAGTCATCCCAGGCAGGCGTCCTCAACACCAGGACGCCCATATCCAGCTTTAGGCAACGACTCTTCCTTACATGGTGCATACAGCCAGGGCGGCCGAGCAAGGGGCGAGTCGCAAGCCAGAAGGCTCACCATACACTTCAATTCTGTCCGTGGACCTCTTTCTCACAAGTGACTTGACTGCTGTGAGTAACACCTGGGTGCGCTTGTCGGGTTGGATAGCCTGCGTTGAGGGAACTATGGGGGGAAGCCAAGGCATGGAAGTACGTTCGTATCTTTAGACACACACAAAGGCAACCCTGCACAGCACTCTGGGCCAGGAAACCCCCCCTATGAAGCTTCCCACGTGCCCGCGAAACCTCCCTGCGTGCTTGTGGCAAAAGAAGATTGGGCGTTGGGAGCTTTCAGGGAAAGCTTCTCATTAAAGTTTCGGCTGCAGGTGTACTTAGACTTGGACCCGTCAGGAGGCATCTTCGCTGCAACGCAAACAATGATGAATGAATCAAGAACACGAGCAATCGCTTGAAGGGTCATACACTTTTCGCATGGAACCTACCACTGCTGCCGGTGACCATCATAGGGCGAGTTCTGACCACAAGCACTTTTCCAGCAAAGAGAAGGCAGAGCTCATCTTCACACCCCGGAACACCAGGTACGTCGGTTCTCCCTCTCCCTATCCGCAGCGCTCCAGAAGCTCCGCCAGTCGGATGGGTCCCAACGACTGCGCCGTCGTGATGTTGCGGTCAACCACATCCTGCGGAACGCTGGCTTGTCACCCAACCCTTTGGGCTCACATTCTAGAACCTTGTCTCTGGACATGGCCCCAGCGCCCTTCACACCACTCAAAAACGGATCCCTGTAATCTTATGCTTTCTTTTTTGTGGCGTTTAGGTCCGCTCCTGGGTTGGGCTGATGAGCTCTTCGATCTCACCGCGCGGGTCAGGGCTGGCCGCCGTGGAACCTGTGGAGTCGCCCCTGGCGTGGGAAAGTCCGAGGAAGGGCCAAGGGGTTTCAGCAGCACTCGGGACTGGTGGACCTGCAAAGCCCTGAGCAGCAATTGTTGCAGGCGTTGGCAGGCTTCAAGGCCAGTTCGTTGCTAATAATAACAGAAAAAATCATCATAATCACAAGAATTCTAAGGTTATTAATAGTAGTAATAACAATATTACATTGCAGCAGTGGTGGATTTCATCAACCCTGAACTCCTGATCTCGGTGTCCTCGCCTCTGGTTCGACTCGCGCTCGGCTTTCTCCAAGTCGGGAATTCCTGGGTCTGCGCATGTGAAGTGCTTCCTTGGGTGTCCACCTTTCTCCAAAGCTTGCCGCGGCTCCCACACCTCCTTTCTTTTTGGTCTCCACTGAAGCACCCACCTGCTACACCTTTGACCCCTGCCTTCGTCCCTCGTCTCCCAAGACTTGCACACGCACTGCCTGCACACCTACCCCTCGGAAACATACCTTTGTCGTGCCAAATTCATATTGCATTCAGCAGTCAGTCAACTGAAGCGGCCGACCTTAAAGGAAAAAATCAAGCCCCCTCCCCTGGCCAAAAGAAAGGTTCTTGAAAAAAAGCCACGGTGGAACGGTGGCCAACAACAAGGTGTCACGCTTCAAATTTCGATCACTGTCCGGGGGAGGTGTCGAAGACTAGCATCGACGTTCAAAGGCTGACTGTTGCTTAAACCCTTTTGTCACCGGGCGTCTCAGCAAGTGAAGCACGGGGCGCGGCGCCCGTGAGGTGAAGTTGTCAGACAAGTCTTGATCTGTGCAGTCCTCATGGCGTGAGCGTTCCGTGCAACCCCCAAGCTACATCTGGATCAGGGTCAAACTCAGAAGAGCTGAAATGCACTGAGCCCCGAATACATGAAAGTGCCGAAACACAATTTTCAATAGTAGATGCCTAAAGCTTGCCGTGGCTGTCAGAGCAACCTGTCCTCACTGGCCTTTGCCATAACGCAGGCATGGCGGATCAAGCCCTGAGGGCAGCTTGTTTCGTGTTTGTGGGGATCTGTGGCCGGGCCGGCAAAGGGTTCGGAACTCAGGGCTCGCGCTCTCTTTCTCTCTCTCTCCCTCTCCCTCCTTCCCTCTATCTCTTCCTTCCATGGGGGAGGCCAGCTCCCACCGTTTTCGGGGTCGCGAGGCGGCCGATGGATAATCCAGCTGTCGAGAGAGTCGAGAGATCAGGGACACTGTTTGAATCTGTTGGGGATGAAGCACGTCTGGTGATACAGTGCGCGCACGAGAAGCCCTCATGATCACACAAAAAATCACGATGGCGTTTAGAACGCCCTTTTTCGGTAGTAGAATACAAGCATAGGGAAATTGAAAATGGGCTGCAGACGTGCAATCATTACAAGTATTTTGGCCTACATACCATACCGTGGAGAGCTAAGGACTTGCGCAAACAACATCGCGGCTCCGAGTGATCACTCGCAACAACAACATTCATAACAGGGTGTGCTTCAGAAGAAAGCCTCCTAATCATGGACACGACACACCCGACATTGCCAAACAAGCCCTACAAGCCACAAGCCCTAAGCCCTAACTGTTAGCTTCTAACCCTAAACCCTAAACCCTAAACCCTAAACCCTAAACCCTAAACCCTAAACCCTAGATCCAAAGACCGCCTGCTCCCCGGTTTCGAACTGCACGGCCATGCAGAACTCCCCGGCCTCGTCCTAAGGTTGCCGCGAGTGGTTTCGATTCGCTTTAGAGGTTGGGTTTAGGGTTTAGGGTTTAGGGTTTAGGGTTTGGGGTTTAGGGTTTAGGGTTTAGGGTTTAGGGTTTAGTTTTTAGGGTTTAGGGTTTTTAGGGTTTAGGGTTTTTAGGGTTTAGGGTTTTTAGGGTTTAGGGTTTTTAGGGTTTAGGGTTTTTAGGGTTTAGGGTTTTTAGGGTTTAGGGTTTTTAGGGTTTAAGGGTTTTTAGGGTTTAGGGTTTTTAGGGTTTAAGGGTTTTTAGGGTTTAGGGTTTTTAGGGTTTAGGGTTTTTAGGGTTTAGGGTTTTTAGGGTCTAGGGTTTTTAGGGTTTAGGGTTTTTAGGGTTTAGGGTTTTTAGGGTTTAGGGTTTTTTGGGTTTAGGGTTTTTAGGGTTTAGGGTTTTTAGGGTTTTTAGGGTTTAGGGTTTAGGGTTTAGGGTTTAGGGTTTAGGGTTTAGGGTTTAGGGTTTAGGGTTTAGGGTTTAGGGTTTAGGGTTTAGGGTTTAGGGTTTAGGGTTTAGGGTTTAGGGGGTTTCTCTTATGCAAATGTGACAGGGTCACCAGGCCCGCTCAGACAATCACAGTGTCTGTGCACCTACTAAATGCAGGATCTTTGGCGTTCCCTTGGCCCTTCTTGTATCAGGCTTCGAAGGTCACCGTCCGGAAGTGCTTTGGTTTGACCCTGCTTTTGCCGGCGAAACGCGGTGCCTCGCCAGAAGTCTCAGCTAGCTTGTGGCTTATGGGTTTGGGAAGTGGACTTCGGTTTGGGAACTGGCAGTCCTTCCCCACATCCTGGTCCATCACCAAAGCTTTGGCATTCTGACCTCGGCTGTGGCAAAGCCGAGTGCTAGGCCCAGAGATCCTAAACCCAGGACTGCCCAGGAAGCCCCCAACTGGAAGAGCCCTATATTAAGTAACTAAATAAATACACACACACATATATACATATATGTATGTATATATATATATATTGATTGATTTTTTATTTACTTTTTTATTTATATATTCTTTTTATATTTAACTATGTATATTTAGATTTCTTGATTATATTCCCGAGTCCTGTAACCAACCTGGGCTCAGCGGCCTCCCTAAACGCCAGAAAGCCCGGGTTCAGCCATACGCCCAAACCCACGACGCCCTCATGGATCCCCCGTGTTGGGATCCCTGTCAGCCCAGCCCTGCACCCTAAACCCTAAACCCTAAACCCTATACAAACCATAAACCCTAAACCCTAAACCCTAGAAAAAGCCTAACCCTAAACCCTAAACCCTGAAAAACTCTCGGCTGAGGACCATCGGGGCCCGGCACGTAAATCGTGTCGCCGTTCTTCGGCGGCGTACGCGCCAGGGCGAACGTCGGGTGGAAGGGGACAACTTTCACCCCCATGGGCTCCTTGGGCGGTGTTGAGGGTGGTTGAAGTTTGGGATGTTCTGGTTTAGCGTTCGGACAGCACGCTGAAGCTTTAGGAGCTGAAGGTCTTGTGCTGTTAGCCGGCTGGCTGGTTGAGGGTTTAGTCGGGTTGCGGGCGGCTAGGGGGTGTCAGAGAGAGATGTTCAGTGTGGCCGAGTGAAGCCTCTGGAGAAGGAACGAGATCGACCTAGAGTCTGTGACCATAAACCGACCATGGCGGCAGAAGACATGGGTCGGTAGGAGAGCAAGAAGGGGAGGAGGCAAAGTAGGTAAGGGACACAGGTGAAGAGAACAGGTACACCTTGATATTTTTCCCCCTTTTGCTGACAGTCCTTATTAGGGATTATCATAGGGGTATACGTTCATCCCGATTAAGGAGCTGTTAGTATAAGGGGGAACCTAAGCCCTAAACCCTAAAACCCTAAACCGACCATAAGAGGGAACATCCCAAGATGTCAAGTTCAAAACGACCAAGGAGCTGCCATCGCAAAGCCACCGTCCAGATGCCAGGTGTAGAACGCATGGAAGTGCCGGAAATCTTGATTCCAGGCCTTGACCTCGACGGTTTAGGGTTTAGGGTTTGGGGTTTAGGGTTTAGGGTTTGAGGTTTGGGGTTTAGGGTTTAGGGCTTAGGGTTGCAAAAGCCAAACTCTGGCTTCTGGAAACCTAGGCCATCACACAGCTTGCCAGCGACATCCGAGCAGCGTTGGGGCAGACCTCAGCCATGTCTCCAGGATGGTTGTTTGGAGCCCGACACCCTAAACCCTAAACCCGTAACACTTTTTTTCAGGTCTCCCGGGGTGGCCCGTAACCCTATTCCTAAACCCTAAACCCTCTGTTGTCCCTCAACTACGAGATGCCCCCTGAGCCCTACAGTCTCCAGCTTGCGCCCACACATAGGCGTTGCCCCAAGGTAGGGGTCCGCTCTCACAGGCCGCAAAGGAAAAATTCCATTGCAGGACGCTTTTTCAAAGAGGGTACCCCCATTCTAGGAGGCCTCCGACTTGAATTCAGGGAATCAAACAAAAAACTCCTCCCAACACTTCGTTCAGCCATGGTTCTAAACCATCAACCCCGCAACCCTAAGCAATCGACCCAAAACAATCCCAAAGCCCTTATAACCCTATGACCAACAACCCTAAATCCTAGACCTTAATGAAGCCTATATTCTAAACCCACCAAACCCCTGAACCCTCAACCGCGTAGCCCTAACCCTAAACCCTACCTTGAACCTTTTTCGGGCATTCCATAGGCTGCAAGCGATTGGCCACGAGGGTCGTCTTGGAACCAGCGGAGCCTGGTTGCCAAAGCTCCTCAGCCTCCTATAAACATCCAGGGCTTAGGGTTTAGGGTTTACAGGGCAGAGGGTACAGGGTTTAGGGTTTAGGGTTTAGGGTTTACAAGGTTTAGGGTTTAGGGTTTCTGCAGGCACTCTCGGCAACAGCAGGCCCCACGCTAGTGCAACCAGCCGGCAACTGCCCACTAGAATAAAAGGCTTTTGGGGGGTGCAAAAGGCATGGCAAAGGTTCGGGTTTGGGGGTTATAGGGGTGTGAGGCCGAGTTCTTTGCATTTGGATTCTCTCGCCCCCCCCCCCCCCCCCCCACGACCCTAAACCGTGAACCTGCCACTGCTTTCCTAAACCCTAATCCCAAACCATCAACCCATTCTGCGTGTTAGGGTTGAGCCAAGCACCTCGTGACCTGGTGGGAATCTTGCGGTTTCAGCCCCTAAAGAAAAAGGGATCCCCCCTCGCCACACAAGAAGAAACATGTCCAGGCTTCCCCAAAACAGCGGACACAGCTTGAGCATGCGAGATTCCCGCAACAAAGTCCGCTCTCAACAAAATCCCCACTTCCTGCCCTGAACTTCCTACTTCACGTCCTCTGCCAAGTCCGCCAGGACCTCATTGGCTGTCGAAGACTTGCTGGTGACCACTCCTTGGGTGGGCAAGACTCAAGGGAGGTGGCGGGTTTTCGATGCCTTCAATGCCACCATGTGTATTCAAGAGTACAGTCATGGTAGAGTATGTCTGCTGCTGTTCTTACCCTTTTGCCCTCCTTACCTTTCACCATCGCAGGCCGAGCTCGTATGTCAGCGGGCGCTGCCCATGGGCAGAAGCCGAAGCCAATGACGACGTCCTCCAGCCACTTTCGGACTGCGCGGGCGTGTTTTGTCTCCTGAGCCTGGATGGCCGAGCGCGGCAGCCTCGAAGCTCTTCGGGCTGCGCAGGCTCCGACACCTACCAGGGCCAAGCTCGCTGCTCCAGTCGCTGTTGCTCCGCATAGGCGGCAGCGCCCCGAAGGCGCCACTGCAAGTCGCAAGGCAGTCACATGGGGACTGGGAGGGGACCTGAAGGCATGGCCCACTTGCATGGCACCTTCCACGACCCCGCCCCTAGAACCTTAGTATGCTGATGAGCCACATCAGCTTGCACATTGCAACCGGAGGAATGACCAGTAAGGCCCCCTGCACCCGAAGGACCGGAACAGCCCGACAAGAACTGGCTTTAGTCTGCGAGGCTTGCGATTCGCGTCAAGTCTTGGATAAGCCGGCACTTGCCAAAACGAGAAACAACAACGGCCCAAAAGAAGCTCCTCGCCCTTGCGCTTTGGAAAGATGGTCCATGTCTTAACTTGGGATTTGCTACTGTTTTTGATTCTTATTCTTCCTCAAGATGGTTCGGATGGCCCTTAGCATCAAGAACGCACAAGTCCCAAAAAAAACCAGCTCTGAACACCAAACCCGGAACCCGGCCGCGTGCCTCGGCCTGCCGGCACGACTTGGGCGTAGCACCGGCATGGCCTTGCCAAAGGCTTCGAAGATCCAGCCACCATGTTAGGGCTTCAGGGTTTAGGGTGTTAGGGTTCGGGGTAAGTTTGGAGCATTACAGAAGGTCCAGAGAGGCCATCGTTGTGAGCTCCAGAAACCATACGTGACATGGGCTCATTGGCTGGCATGACAGGCAATGCCCTGTTTTCGCAAGCACGTTTCAACGAGGCTGGCGTGAAACAACCGGGTTGAGACCCATGTGGTGGATCCTGGAAAAGGCTCGGTTGAGCTGTTCTGGGAGCTTGGCCACCAGTCTTGATGGAAGTCAGAAGGGTATCTGCCAAAGACCCTAAGTTCTGCAGCAAGCTGATCTAACTCCCTGTGGTCTCATCATGCGTGGTCTGCAAGACCGGGGCCCTCTTCTGGCGCAGGCAAAACGAACCCTGAGTCTGGCATCTACTGGCCAAACAACAGGCTTCGTAGTTGCCTCATCCCGACTACGAGCTCCTCGGGCTTTCTCGTGGTTCTACTTCGAGCCTTTTCGGACGAACCCTCAACCCTCAACCCTCAACCCTCAACCCTCAACCCTTCAAGGACCACTGTCAGTGAAAATCATGCTGGGCTTCGTTGCTGCTTGTGCCACAAGACTCTTGAAGCCGCGCGGCTTGCACCCCCAAGACCCCATGAAGGCTTGTCTGTGTTGCGGTGCACTCAGTTGCAAGGAGGGGCCCCATAGCCACTGGGTTCTGCGAGACGTCGGGTTGGCACGCCAACCTACGAGCTAGCGGGAATGCTGCTGGCACTTTAGGCAGACGAGAGACCAGCCTGAACCCCTAACGCGACAGCAAACCCCACACAAGGCTTTCTCTCTACCTTCGGAAGCCCCCAGACCTTGCAAACTGCATCCCACATCCAAGCCCCGTGTCAAGCTCGAGCCCCCGCAATACAGCAACTCTTACGTCGTGCGCCTGCCTAAGCCAACAGCAAGCGCCTGTGTCGGTGAAACGGGTGCGGCAAGCTCAAGAACTAGTGGTGTGTAACAAACGACAACTTTCCTATACTCCTCTTGGAACCTTAGTAAATCTTAATAAAACTAATTTGTTTAATATCCTCTTGGGCTTTATATAAACAAAAAACAATTCCTAACGGGGATGTAGTATCAGCATGCTGTTTGCTGATGTTTTAGGTGTTGGGACCTGCCACAGCACGAACCGCCCAAAGCGAGATCCACCCCCCGAAGCCGGACGTACAAACAAGCTGCAAAGCAAGGAGGTCCCGGACAAAGCACCCTGAACATCGTAAACCTGACAAGGTCCAGAGCCTCAAAACGAAAAACGGAAGTCTAAACGACACAGCTCTTGAAAAGGGCTTCGGGATTTCGGCTCATCCTATGTCCCATGCCAGCCTGTTCAACCTCAAAACCATTCTTGAATAACCCCTTAAACCCGGAACCCTAAAACCTAAACCCTAACCCTAAACCGTAAACCCTAAACCCTAACTCTGGGTCTCATGAGACGAGAAGCTTGCAAAGGACTCATGGCAGCCCTACATAAAATGAACTCATATAAAGCCGAAAATGAACCCATATAAGGCCTCGTGAATCGTTACAACTCTGTAAACCCCTCAAAGCCCCTGTAACCTTTTATTCGCCCTTAGAACTTATAACTTATGTCAACCCCAATCCCACTCTTCAAATCGTACGTGTTCCACATGCTTTCATGCATCATCTGCCAAATCATCAACACTGGTTCCACATCAACCCTATAATTAACCCCTGCGCCGCCAAAAAAATCGCCATAATATTCTACGACCCGATGAGGCCCCTCTCATCGACAGCCCATGTGAAGTCTCCCGCGCGCTTGGCCATGTTAGGCAATGCGTCCTTGTGACGCGTGCGCGGGGGGGGGGGGGTGGATTTGAGGCTTCTTGGGGCATTCCGAGGGCTCAGGGTCTAGGTAGCGTGGTTGCTTCGGGGTCTAACACTGACATGGTTTGGGGTTTCTAGTCCTCAGGGTTTGGGGGTGGGGGATGTTTGGCTGGAGGTTTTGATTGTGTGGCGCGGGGCCACAGTATTAAGGGAGCCAGGTTAGAGGTGGCACGCAGAAACTGGTTCAAGCCTCTGGGACCTAGTTGATTTAGGGTTTAGGGTTTAGGGTTTAGGGTTTAGGGTTTACGGTTTAGGGTTTAGGGTTTAGGGTTTAGGGTTTAGGGTTTAGGGTTTAGGGTTTAGGGGTTAGGGTTAGTACCCTGGGCCAAAAAAAGTTAACCTTTGGTAGGGTTCAAGCCCAAACTCCCTCAAACCTACACACCAAGCCCTGGGACCTCGAAACTGAAACCCTAAATCCCTGAAGCCCGAAAACCCTATGCAAGCTAGAACCCTGGAAACCCTGAAGCCCTAGAACCCTACCACCCTAGAACCCTAACGCCCTAGAACCCCAAAACCCTGAACCCTGAAGCCCTAAACCATCCTGCTCCCTACTTAAGGTGCGGTCCTTAATCGCGGTAAGCTCCGTCTGCAGCTGAGTCAGAGTGGGGTTGTGGAGCATCTTCCTCAGGTTTCAGGGTTTTTGGAATTTCTTTTGGTTGTTTCCCTCCTGCACCGCTTTCTTTTGGGTTTTGGGGGTTTCGGGTTTGGAGTGGGTTTAGGGTTTTTGTTTGGGGGGTTTGGGGGGGTTTATGGGGTCATTTGGGTTTGAGGTACACGAGCCACTGCAGCCCCTGTGGGGCTGTACCGCTCGATGCTTTGCCAATTGACGCACAGGCGATTACGTCCGCCCTTCCGTTTAGGATTTAAGGCATAGGCGTGGTTGCGGCATACCCGAGCCTTAAAGCCTTAGTTCTTGGGTTTCGCGACTTGGCAAAGAGCTTGACGTGGTCGGGATGGGGGTTCCTGACTTCTTGAGTTCGGAAATTCCGGATTCATCTCGATCTCAGGTTTTCGGGGGCTTCCCCCCAGGTTCCAAACTGATCCTCAGCCCAGACACAAGGTCTTGCAGCAGCTCTTCGAATCCTCACCCATGATTGCCCAGTGCCTCAGCTTCTGGGCTTGTGGTTCGGCTCTCAGGTAGTCTTTAGGGGCCTTCAGCTTTGAGGGTCCACGGTCTCAGTTCTCCTTGCAAGTTTTCGGGCTCCGTGTTTGGGGCCTCCTGTCTGATAACTTGCTTTCAAGCCGTGACATGCCCCGGAATCCACAACCCCAAATAATTCCCAACTGAGCAAAGCGTAGATGCAGCTCCGTGATGGCTGTCTTCTCGGTAACAGAGTCTCCGATCGAGAGGACATTCTTCCAGGGATTCTTCCCATATAGCCTCCGCTGCCGAATGCCAACACCAACCGGAGCACTAGGGTGGAAAGATGTACTTTGGGGAGCGGAAAGGAGTATCGGGGGGTTTCCGAACTTAGGGTCCCTTATTGTGGTCCTTACTTTTAGGGAATGCTACGATTTAGGGCTTTAGGGGCTGTACATTCGGGGTGCCCTCATTTTCGTAAAAAGCCACACACAATGGAGCAGCGCCCGGCCCTGGAAACTCGGAGACGAAGCCTAAGCCGTAAACCCTAAACCCCAGACCCTTCTGCATCCGGACTCCCGTGGGTGCTGCCAGAAACTGCCCAAACCCTAAACCCGAAACCCTAAACCCTAAACCCTATTCCGTTAAGCAGCCGTTTCAGGACCTTCTTCATGGCCTGCTCCTTTGCCATGGTCAGCGGGCACACACCCTCCTCGAACTCGCCGTCGGGACTTCGCATGTGATGCTTCTTCCTTGACAGTTTCTGAAGGTTTGCGGTTTAGGTTCAGGGTTTAGGGTTTAGGGTTTAGGGTTTAGGGTTTAGGGTTTAGGGTTTTGGGTTTTGGGTTTAGGGTTTAGGGTTTAGGGTTTAGGGTTTAGGGTTTAGGGTTTAGGGTTTAGGGTTTAGGGTTTAGGGTTTAGGGTTGGCGCAAACAGACGCACCTCTCAAAAAGCAAAAGGCCGATGCCACAGCGACACGACCTTCGCGAAGGAGCAGGCCCAAGTTCGCATGAATCACTGAGGAAGCTACACATCCGCGTGGTGATCTGCTTGTGCTGCAGCCCAGGGATCAAGGGGTCAGAGGTCAGAGGTCTCTGCGGGCGCAACAAGTTGGATTGGGGGCTCAGAGAACCTACGCAACACTGCCGCCTATGCCTCAAGGCCTTAGAAGCGGGTCATGCTCTTAAAACCTCCGCTACTCAGGCTTCTCGGGGAGGGGAGGGGGTGGGACGATTCTATGTTAGCGGGCGAACCACATCGCGGACGCCTGGGCAAGCCTACACAAGGCGCGTAAGACCCCCAAAGCAAGGCTGAAACCCGAGGAAGCGTCACGCACTCCCGGGAGTAGATCAGCGGAATCTGCAACTCGTCTAGCCTGGAAATAAAAAAGGGGTTTAGGGTTTAGGGTTAGGGTTTAGGGTTTAGGGTTTAGGGTTTAGGGTTTAGGGTTTAGGGTTTAGGGTTTAGGGTTTAGGGTTAGGGAACTTGGGGGGGATCTGTTGGTTCTTGTGCTGGTCAGAAAGCAGGGTAGAAGTGTCGAAAAAATTGGATCGGGATGCCACAAACTTCCCAAGGACTCATAGAACAAGGGCATGGGGGCTTCATGGATTCCTGTTTGATCCGGTTGGTTGCGTTGGGGGAGTTTCATTGATTCGCCCTGCTCTTGCAGACCAAACGCAACAAACCCTGAGCACCTAAAAGCATCCATCCTCTTACAAGAGCTTCGTGACACAACGCCGTCTCCCTGTTTCACACCACTATACTCAGGTATTTCAGCTGTTGAGCTTTTGGGGCAGTAAACTCCACAAGATCCTATTTATTTTGGGACGTCTAGGAGGTCAGATGGACTGCGTCTTGAGCGCCCAAGCTGGAACCATGTCGAGGTTGACATTCAAAAGCAAAATCACCCCTTCATCTGCGTAGCCCAACTTCGGGAACAAAAGGAGCCAGCAACAAAAAGCCGGGGTGCAGAGCTTCAATCTGCAGCCCAGGCATGAACTCGGCTGCCGATTCCGCCACCCAGGGACGCCTCAGAAAGGAAGCAGGGGGCCTATCCGAAATTTTCTGAAAAATCGAAGATGCTCATTCTTTCCATAAAAACTTCGGGATGCTTTGCAGCACCCAACGTCACAAGTGCCATTGAGCATCTGGAGAGTGCGTGTGCATTCAAGGGTTTCGAGGACATCAGGTCTGTTTCAAATTCTCGCAGAAACATGACTAGCACCAGCTATCCTCTGCCCAGGACCCCTAAACCCGAAACCCGAAACCCAAAACCCTAAACCCTAAACCCTGAACCCTAAACCTAAACCCTGTCCCTACAAGTTGACTTGGAAATACCCGGAACCCCCAGCCCAGCTGCCGCGACAGCGTCACGATGGCCACGCGACCACAAGACCGGGCTTGTCTCCTTGGCTTATACACAGCGATACCCTAAACCCTAACCCAAAACCCTAAACCCTATACCTGATCTCGGAAGCCCGAGATGTCCAAAGTCGGCTCGCGCAAAAACCATCGATGATGCAAGCAACTCAGAAGACCTGGTGGGCTTCGGATGGCTTGTATAAGTGTTAAGGCTTTGGGATAGAATTTCCTTGGAAAGAAGAATTGGGATTTAGGGTTGAGGGTTGAGGGTTTAGGGTTTAGGGTTTAGGGTTTAGGGTTTAGGGTTTAGGGTTTGGGGTTTAGGGTCTAGGGTTTAGGGTTTAAGGGTTTAAGGGTTTAAGGGTTTAAGGGTTTAAGGGTTTAAGGGTTTAGGGTTTGAGGTTTTCATTTGCGCTTAACGAAGGACCCTGGCTACGCATTGGTTGGCCAGGCGGCAAAAGGTCGCGGACAGTTCTCGTCAGCCTTGGCTTCGTAGCTGCTGAACCCTACACTCCCTGAATCCTACAGAGCCTTCTCTTGAGGCGCTGGAACAGAAAAGCACAAAGATGCACAAAGCAGGCAAGGGGGCTGCTCCATGGAGTCTCGAAAGGCCTTGTCATCAGGCAACCTGTGTTCCTTGACCTCGGGCTTGGGGGGGGGGGTTTGGTTTCCAGGTTTTGGCGGGTCTGGGAAAGCGAAGGGCCGAGGGGCGCCAGAAAGAGGTTTGGGTTTTATGTTACATACAATGGTAGCTTAGTAGCAGTGGTTTGGACCGAGGACTGCCACCCTTAGCGCCGCGGAAGTTTGCACGCGGCTCCGTCAGCACACTCCAAAAACCCTGTCTTGACATACCAAAAGCAAGGTCCATCTCTTTCTGTAGCATCCACGGCACCTCGTGGGGTCTCGGATAGATTCCTAGAAGTTGGGCCCCAGATTCCTTAAAAACTGGGCCTCCAAGGCGTGCCAAGTGGGAAAGAGGGTGTCGTCCCAGTCGAAGATGATCGCCGTCTCGCCTAGTGCCCGGTCTACCCGCTTGCTGCTTCGGGGCTTTTAAGTGGCTTCGGGAGTTGAGGGTTTTTGCTCAGGAACACCTTCTTACACCCCTGTTTCCCCCGGTAACCTCGTGCCTCGTGGGGAACACTGCCCTCGTTTCCAGCGATGGCACAGACATAATTGGAGTCATCGAGGGCTTGGAAATGTCCTACAAGCCCAATGGCGGATGAAACAACCTGACACTGATCTTCCACCCTACCATGAGGCACCGGTGAATGTCTAAATCCCAGTTGAAATTCGCCAGTCTAGACAGGTCTTGTGGCGGGCGGGGGGGGGGGGTCTTGAACCCCGAATAAATCTGAGGGGTTTTACGACCTCGTCTTCAGAGGCTTGCATGGGGCTTCCAGCGCTATATCAATCAATCCGAAGCCCCCTTTTTTTGCCAAAACTTTGTGATGAAATAGCATATGTAGATTATATGCAAAATACATACGTTTGCAATGTTTTCAGACTGTATTTGCAATATTCAATATAGTTGTGATTCATTTAATACAGCTCTACCCTAACCCTAAACCCTAAACCCTAAACCCTAAACCCTAAACCCTAAACCCTAAACCCTAAACCCTAAACCCTAAACCCTAAACCCTAAACCCTAAACCCTAAACCCTAAACCCTAAACCCTAAACTTAAGCTTCCGCGCGGCCCAGGGGCTGGGACTGAATGTGGGGGTCACCGGGGCCTTCGGCGCCTCGCTGAGAGGAACCTTGGAGCACGGGTTTTTTTTGCCACCCGTCTAGCAAAGCTCCACGGGGCAACTGAAGAGGGAATGCTGTGTACAGACTTCAGAGCCCAAGTTGAGGAAATCTTAGAGACCCACACCAGCCAGCAGTCCCCGAATCATCAACCGTCCTCACCAACAACCACAAGGTACGAACAACCAGCCTACAGATCCATGGGGCACGCCAAGGTTTGGTGTGGCCTGTCACCTAGCCACCCCGGTACCTGGCTGTTCCTTCAGGCACCACGGTCCTGGCTATAGGCAACCGGAAAACGGAAAAAGGTGTTCCCTACATCAATGCCGGGGGGGGGGGTTTCATGTTCGACCAACACATTTGGAGCACGGGTTTAGGGTTTAGGGTTTAGGGTTTAGGGTGTAGGGTGTAGGGTTTAGGGTTTAGGGTTCAGGGTTTAGGGCGACACTCAGGCCACATTGCAGGGAACACTCTGTTTTTTGCCACCTGCCTAGCAGCTTCGCAACTACACTGCAGGGATGCAAACAGATTGGTTTGCTTCCCACCCGCCTGGCCAAACAAAAGTTCACTTCGCAGGGTGCACGGCATATTCACAGGACGAAAGTTCGACCCACTCGCTTAAGCCGCCATGAAGCCCTTGGAACCCATGCAAACCGCCCTTCCCCTTTAGACTCCTAGCACCCCGAGTACCCCGACACCCAGCTCGCGGACTCCGCCGTCGCCTAATAGTAGTATGTCTGTATTCAAAACGGCGTATAGATTCCTCCGTCCCGCAGGCCATGTAAAGTGCACCCCGTGCCTACTCCACTACTCTGCGGTATGGGCAGCATCCTTGAGATATGGTTCTGTTTCTCCAGGTGTGTCGAAACTTTAATCCTCCCGATGTAGGGGGCAGGCAAACATACATACAACGACTTTCCTAAACCCTAAACCCTAAACCCCAAACCCTAAACCCTAAACCCTAAACCCTAAACCCTAAACCCGAACCCTGCACCCATCTGCACGAGGGGCCCCCAACATCTCGAAGAGCTTCGAGGCGAAGGAGAAGAGGCCCTGGTCCTTGGAAGTTCTCGGGCTTTTTGAACGCAACTGGCGACTTCTTTCTTCAGTGTGGGTTTAGGGTTTAGGGTTTAGGGTTTCGGGTTTCGGGTTTAGGGTTTCGGGTTTAGGGTTTCGGGTTTCGGGTTTAGGGTCTAGGGTTTAGGATGTAGGCTTATCCAAGCTAAGATGCCCTAAACCTTAAACCACAAAACAAGAGCTTCCTCAAGAACTTCCCAGGATTCGTGTGACTCTGGGGCTCTCGACTCTGTGGCCGGGTCCCGGTAGGGGCTGCCCGCGAAGGAGGGCGAGAAGCGGGAGGGGCCCTCTCCCGGAAAGGAGTAGGTGATGCGCTCCTCTCATCAAGGATTCTCACTTGTTAAGGATACCCACTCAGATCAACCCTTTCATTCGCTTTACACCCTTTCAGTGTGCGGCATGCACAAGTGCAGGTTTCCAGAAGCAGTCCAGGATTCCGTTCAGGAGCGTATCGCAATGGGACATGTTGCACGCCGTGCTCATTTGTGCAAACTTTCTCCAACGAATACGACCAAGGACAAGCTGCTTTCCATGCAGAGAGGTTGAAGCTCTGCTAGGTGGGACTTTTGGCGCACAAACAAAAACTCTGTGCTGAGCTACGACCGGCGTCGCCCCGCTGACCCCGCTGTGCATGTTGCGAGAACCGTCACCATGCACATGTGCACACACACACACCCACACCCACGCACGCACGCACGTGCGCGCGCACGCGCACGCGTTTTTTAGGATTTAGGGTTTAGGGTTTAGGGTTTAGGGTTAGCTCCGCAACCATTCGCGGGGCACTGTACGAAATGTATTCACCTGCTGCCCAGTTTTTGCAAAAACCTCCGAGCAAGGCTCATACAGATTTCTTTCAGGTGACTGTAGTAAATGAGCAGCCAGAAGGAGTTCGTTCGAAAACCACCATCCTCTTGATGCACATGCCCAGTCAGAGGAACCATAGAATGCAATCCACCACAAGCCCTTCGCCCTTTTCCCTTTTGCAACCAAGGCCCTACAAACTCCCCAAAACCACATATGGAGGGTTTCCGAAATTAAGGGGACCTTATTGGGGTCCTTAGAATATTAATAAGGGAATCCGATTCTATGGGAACTACATTAGGGGCCCCATCTTTTCATAAACCCACAAAATACCGAAGCCGCGCTCCTCGTCGTCCGAGCTCTCCATGCCCGAGTCAAAGAAGCTCCGCCTGTGCCTCCCACTACCACTGCCGCTGTCTCTCCGCACCGAAGATGGAACCTCACACTGGGCTAACAGCCTCAATGGGTTTCGTGTCTTTGTTTTGGTTGCAACCGCCTAGCTTGAGTTAGTCCAGGATGCCAGGTGCCAAAACTTACAGCCCTTAACAGGGATTCTCATAGGTGGTACTATATCCCCATTCTTAAATTAAGGTCTGTTAGTACAGGGGGGAGCATCCCTGCCTAAACCCCCCTAAGACAGCCTCGGGTTTGGCGGTGGGCGCCGTGTCCGGGAGCAGCGGCATGATGGGCCCGCGCTCGGCGAGCACCGACAAGCCCTAGGGAGCTATCGCGGGCATATGGGCGCACGCCTTTGACACGAAACGGCTGCTGGAAGAGCTGCTTTCGGTACTCGGGAACCGGATAGGGGTTCGGATTTAAGGTTCTGAGTATAGTGCGGGACATGCTGCCGGTCAGAGAAGAAGCAGCCAGGCAAACTTCTAAGGTTTGGGGTTGATGGTAGCGCTGCTGTGCGCAGCAAGGGCCGTGGATTTCAGGGTTTAGGTTTGAAGGTTTTGCACAGGGGGCTTGAGGGTGCACTTAATTTTTCAGGGTTCAGGGCCAGCTTTCATTGAGATTCATGACCCAGCCGCCCAAACGGCTTTCAAACGACTCTGACCGGGCTTCCAGTGAATCCACTTGGTTTAGGAGGTCCGAAAGCCACCAAACCATTCCGTGCAAGTTTGTTTTGGGGCAGCGAAGCACGAGTCCACTTTATGTGCCCGACCCAACTGCATCAAGGAAGGGGGTTTGGTGCCACAGTTCTGAACCATGCAAGTGCTGGAAGCATGCGGGACAGAAGAGAAAGTGACGTGAACACTCCGAAGAAGCGGACGGGTTTGCCTGTGACTGTGAGTGGAGAGCACCGAAACTTGGTGCCCATATTGAAAAAATGTTGCATGGAAGCAGCAAGAAGCCCCGTGCTCTCACTCCGAACCACAGCTTGAGAGAAAGTTTTCCTAAACCCTAAACCCCAAACCCTAAGCCCTAAACCCTAACCCTAAGCCCTAGACCCTCAGCCCTAAACCCTAAACCCTCAACCCCCCATGGCGCCTCACCCCGCCCAAGCCGGCGCATGGAGCAGAGGTTTCGGAGTTCTCTCGAGTGAAAAATGGGGGTTTCCGATTTTAGGGGTGCCTTATTGGGGTTTAGGGTTTAGGGTTTAGGGTTTAGGGTTTAGGGTTTAGGGGTTAGGGGTTAGGGGTTTAGGGTTTAGGGCTTCGGGGTGCCTTATGGGGGTCCTTATGATAAGGGGATCCTACTACTTGGGGGGTCTATACTAGGGGTCCCATATTTTCGGAAACCCCCAGGTCTGAACGGGGCTTGGGGCTTAGAAGGGCTTAGGTTCTGCAAGTACTGGGACTTCAACTCAATCAAGGCATATTGGCTGGCCGAATCAACTTTAGCTATGGACCCTGAGGGTCCATTTGCAGTACGATTCTGGAATTAGGTACCCAGGAGCCATACCAAATAGGGTTTTTGGGTACCTAGTTCCACAATAATACTAGTGCCCCTAAACCCTAAACGCTAAACCCTAAACCCTAAACCCTAAAACCCTAAAACCCTAAAACCCTAAACCCTAAAACCCTAAACCCCAGTGCAGGGCTGACGCAAGACTTGAGCCAGGCGCGGAGCTTCTTGCGGTTTAGCCACCGGAGCGGAAACTAAAACCCTCATGAGGGTTTAGGTTTAGGGTTTATTGTTTAGGGTCTAGGGTTTAGGGTGGGGGTTCGGGATTTTTCTTGCTGCTTGTCGTATTCAAGTAGATCCAGATTGCACGACGAATTCGAAACTACGTGTTCTCTCAGGGCCGCACGTTTATTCAGGATAGCTTGCAGCAAAAAGGCCCAAAAAAACAAATGACATCAACTAAACTATCGAGCGTAGCAAAGGGCTTCATGTAAAAAAAGGCCCAAATGAGCTCTCAACCCTAACAACTCCCAGGCTCACAAGTTCTCTCGCCCCCCGTTGAAACCACCAAAACAACTCGTGAGTCGCCTCAAACCCTAAACCCTAAACCCTAAACCCCAAACCCTAGACCCTAAAGCCCTAAACCCTCAACCCCACCCCCCATGCTTTTTCTGTGGTTGGTAAAAGAGCAGCCGCGGCAGCTGCGCTTTGAGCAGGAAGCTCTCCACCTCCGCCGCGCCGCGCTGCTCGCACTCCGTGAGCAGCCTCGGGGGGCTCATGGAGGCAGCGACCAGAATGTCGGAGGTAGGGTTTGGGGGAAGAGGTTTAGGGATTTAGGGTTTTAGGGTTTTAGGGTTTTGGGGTTTTGGGTTTCGGGTTTAGGGTTTGGGGTGTAGGGTTTAGGGTTGAGGGTTGAGGGTGTAGGGTTTAGGTTTAAGGTGTAGAGTCTATGAGTATACGGCCTACAATACCTGATTACGATTGTGGGAGAAAGGGTTTCGGGCTTTGTGTCTTCTTGCCTAGCTTGGAAACGGCATCTGTGTAAAAGAATCCAAATCCGCATGGCCCCGGGCCCCCGAAAACACCCCGCAAGAACAGCCCCCCTAATCTAAAGACATATTCCGCCAGATCGGAGTTTCAGATATGGGGGGGGAGGAGGAAGGGATTATTCGTACTATTATTACTAGCGCTGTAGGGATAAAGTAGTGTAGTCGAAGGGTTGAGGGTTCCGGATTGGGGACACCACCATGAGCTACTGAAGCTCAGTGATACTGCAGGTACTGGCTTTGTCGCACACGCGCATTGCAGCGAAACGCCAGGGGATTTACCATCTGGACGAGGCGGAAAATTGCAGCAGACTGCATACCAACTGGAAAAACACGGCCGCAGTGATTCTGACGCATCTCCACTCAGCCTTGCTGCAGACCCCACGGTCTTTCGACTAACTGGCTGGAAAGACTCCTGGCCCCTGGCAGCTACATATGCTGTGAATACCTAGGTGTGAAGATTTCACGCCACTGCTTTCGCTACTACGTTGGAAGTAGGTGCCCACCACGTGCATCCGAAGCTCACACAGGTTTCAACCTGTTTCCTTCAGGTGCAAAAGTCGCTGCCGGCGGACACCTCGCCAGCCGGTTCGGCGCTCTTTAGGTCTACATCGGCTCGCAGTTCCAGCAGCAGCCTCACGACATCTAGGTGACCATTGTCAAGCGCCGCGCGAATGGGTGTGCCCTTTGCTCCCTTCTCAAAGTCGACGTGGGAGTCGGAAACAAACTTCGCGGTGCGGAGGAAGGATGAAGGGAGGCTCTCCAAGTTAAGGCATCTGCCCAAATCCTCTCAGGACAAACAAAAGGGTTTCTGCACGGAGCCTTGTACTTAGGAGGATGGCATGCCAGGGTAAACGTATCTTGGAAGACTATTGACTGTAGCCTCTTGCGTTTCTGCCATCCTGTGTCTTGGCAGGTACTGGTAGAGCTTTGCTGAGGTCCGCCTGCGCCTCTGCCAGCAGTCGCACGATCTTAACATGACCACTGCCTGGGGAAAGCAAATTATGGTACAGTATTGTATAGAAGAACAAGGCACACTTGTTCCCTAGACCCCAAGGTCAGAAGCAGAACACTAAAGAAAGAGCGACTGCCTGCTGCTGCATGAAGCGGTGTACCGCCTGTAAGATCGTTCGTGCCCTTGTGAATGTCGGCGCGCATCTCCAGCAGCAGTTGCGCAGTTTCCATATGGCCACCCGCGCAAGCTGCACGAAGGGGTGTACCTTCTTCGAAGCCACTAGCTGTCTTGTCAATGACAGCACGGGCCTTCACCAGGAGACGCTGCTTCACCACAGAAGATCCGCCAGAGAGATTTGGCACTCGCATGTGGTATCGTAGGCCTGTCCCTGGCCTGCTGCAAAAACCCATTCGATCCACGTCAGCATTCGCCGCCAAAAGCATACGCACGAAGGTCAGATGGCCCCGTCTACACGCCCGCACAAGAGGAAGCTGGCTTTCTTCGCAGAAACCGTTGGTACCAGCACCAGCCTCTAACAGCAAGCGCACAATCTCCACATGGCCCCTGTCAGATGCCCTACTCAGAGGCGTGTCCAACTGGACAGTTGCATCATGCTGGGCACTTATGACTGCGATATCTGGATCGAACCGCTGTTCTAGCAAGCGCTCCAGCTCAGGCACACTGCCGTTGATTGCCGCTTTCGCAAGCTTCACCATCTCGTGAGAAGAAACCTTTGCAAAGTCTTGCACCACCAACTGCAAATCCGTGACGCCATCCAGCTTCGCATCAACGGCCAAATTCTCTGCTTCGTGCAGAAGCGCCTGCCTGAACACAGGAACCCCACAGAGCTCCCGAAGGCGCTGCTTCCTCAACTGATGTGGGCTATTCATTAGGGAAAGATCTGAATCGAGCTATTTACAGCACCGTTCTCGAGAGTAGCTGCAACTCCTGCCGATTGACTTCCCGAATACTACGACGACTCCTACTAACTACTACTAATCGCAATAACCGTCATAACAACAGCAGTAGCAGTTGTGGTAGTAACAACAGGAGCAACGGGGTACGACGACTGATTCGCCGTCTTCTTGTTTCAATTTTTCCCCTGGTTCTGAGTAGGGAATGCAGGAATTAGGGCCCCATATATATATATATATATATATATATACTAAGGGGTTATGTAGGGTACCTCATTCCCTTATTCCCTACTAAGAACCGGCCAGATTTTCCCGGTCGGGCTTCAAGCTTGGCACATCCGTCAGCTCATCACAAGGGATGGCCGCCAGCTCTTCGCCCGAGGCTTTCCAGACATGCAGCATTCCAGACTCTAACTCCATGGCTTGAGGTGAGGAAGTATGCTATAGTATACTATAGTCCACTGTAATAGTAGCACCAGAAGTAGGGAGGAGGATCTAGCATATCACCTAGCCAAAGTCTTGTGGTGCATTGATGTGAAAATACTGATTGTGCGTCAGGCTACAGAAATGTCATGGCTGGCCCTTCATTGTTATGGTTCCAGGGCTTGGGGGTGGATGGTATATTTGACTAGACGCTCCCAACAAAGCAGGAAAGCCCCAACAGACAATATCCCAACCCCGAACACAGTCCAACTCAAGACCGAAACGGCTTCTTTGGGATAGGAGTTTCACATGAACATTGGGTTTGGGTTCGGGGTTGGTTGAGGGCTTTTGGGCTCGAAAATTTTTGCGATTTCAAGCTGAAGCTCTCAGTAATGAATGCCCCATTGGGATCCAAACCCTAACCCCCAAACCCTAAACCCAATCAACACGAAACCCCCTAAACCCCACTTCGAAACCCCTTAAATTCAACTCCGAAGATGCCCCCCCCCCCCCCCGCCTCGGCCCCCGACCTGGGCTGAAACACCTAGAAGCCCCTGTAAATCACCCGAAACCGTCCTTGTCACCTTAAACCCCTAAACCCTAACTAGACCCAAGAGTAGCCTAGGAACAAAAAGGGTGACCTTTTTATAAGGGAACCTAAACCCTAAATGAAGGCCTACGCTGGGCCCTAGCTACCTCAAGCCTCAACCCTCTACCCTCTACCTCAACCCTCAACCCTCAACCCTGAACCCTGAACCCTGAACCCTGAACCCTCAACCCTCAACCCTCAACCCTCAACCCTCAACCCTCAACCCTAAACCCTAAAACCCTAAACTCTAAACCCTAAAACCCTAAAACCCTAAACCCTAAACCCTAAAACCCTAAACCCTAAACCCTAAACCCTGAACCCTAAACCCTAAACCCTAAACCCTAAACCCTAAACCCCCCCCCCCTCCCTAGAGCTCCCAAACTCCCCCCCGGCAGAATCTTCGACCCAGGCAGGCTCTGGCTCATGGCGTGGGGCTCCAGCCTCTCCTCGAACCTGTTTAGGGTTTAGGGTTTAGGGTTTAGGGTTTAGGGTTTAGGGTTTAGGGTTTAGGGTTTCGGGTTTAGGGTGTAGGGTGTAGAGTGTAGGGTGTAGGGTGTAGGGTGTAGGGTGTACGGTACATTAGGGAGGGGGTTGGGGGCTGAGGGTTTCCTAGATGGCTTCGGGTTAGGGCTGAAACCTTAAACCGAAAGCTTTAACCGAAAGCTTCAAGAAGGAAAGCAAAACACAAGGTTGGGCCCAGGAACATCCAAGCACCCAAGTCGAGCCCCGCAGCCCAGGCGCCCTGGTCCTGGGCTGCTCGTGGGCGTTAGGCCGCTAGGCTCTACCTGAAGGCTATAATTTAGTTCCTTTTTGGGTTAATTATAGGGGATTCTAGTATACTACCCCAAAAAGGTACTACATAGGAGCCTTTAGATATACTCTCGAAATACATATGGTCATTTCTCAATTTTTTGTCCCTTTGTACCCGACATATGAGGGCCGCCGAAGAATCGTAGCCCCAAAAGGGGCCCGAATTTGGAGGATCCCCGATATCTGCTTGTCTTGGATTTGCTAGGCTTTCATGTCCTTAAGGGCAACAGGGATTTAGAGCCTTGGGCTTGTAAAATTCAGGGTGATGGGTTGCTTCTGGTGCCTCCCCGAGAAAGAAAAACAACGAACAGCCTTACAGCAAGAACTTTAACCCTCAACAGCCTTGAATGGGGGTTTTACGAACATAGGGGACCCCTAAAATTGAACCCAAATAGTAGGATTCCCTTATGAACTGTATGAATAAGGACCCCAATAAGGTACCCCAAAGATGGGGAACCTCAAAACTTAAACCACTTAACTTGGGATGTTCTCCCTTATGCTGACAGTCCTTCATAGGGATTATAGTACCCGTGTGATAATCCCTATTAAGGACATCCCAGCTTAAACCCTAAACCCCAAACCCTAAACCCTAGACCCTAAACCCTAAACCCTAAACCAAGCAGTAGCCAACAAGGCTCCTTCGAATGGCAGCAGGCGTCCTTAGAGTGGCGGGGTTGCCGAGCTTCGGGGGAGCAGGTTTAGGGGATCTCGGCGTTTAAGGATTTAGGGTTAGGGTTGGGTTTGGGGTTTCGGGGAGTCGGGGTTTAGGGCTTAGGGAGCTACGCTGAGGATGTAGCCCTCAGCGCTTTGAGAATGAAGAATGGCGGGGGTTGCAGAAGCGGATCTCCTGTGGTCTTCTGATGCCACGTCTGCGCATCGAGACGAATCTCAGCTGCATTTTTTTTTGTGCCCTTGGCATCGTGCAGGCGGGCAGTCTTGCCTTGTTGGCTTGGGCTCTAGGGAAACTACGTGTCTCGACATGACTAGGGATTGCGCCCAGTCATGCCACCATCTTGACAGCCGACAGATTCTCTGCCGCCGTCTTCTATCAGCGCCGCAAAAAAGGCGCTCCCCTGGCACACCAAACCCAGCCAGAAGCAAGAGGGCTCGTAAAACAAGCAAAGTTCATGCTCGAAGTCTCAGAGGCCTAGAACCCTAAACCCTAAACCCTAAACCCTAAACCCTAAACCCTAAACCCTGAACCCTAAACCCCTGAACCCTAGACCCTAAACCCTAAGCCTAGTTCTGATGGGGGCCCAGTGGCCTGGCATGGTTTGGCTCGAGAGAGGTGGATGTCAACTCATGCTCCTCCTGCTGCAGTGACCTTGTTTTTTGCACCCGCATCGTGCCCAGCTGCAGTGGCCTGGGAAGGTTTACGGCTGGCAACAAAATGCAAGAAGCAGTTAAGGCGGCTGACGGCAAATGCCATGCTGGGTGATGCTTTAGGCTTGGCTCCTGAATTTGTCAGCAAGGGTCTATAAGCTTAGATCGGTCAAACTTCTTTTTTTCGAAAAAAAAAAAAAGGGAAGCCAAAAGGTTTAAAGTTCAACTATTGGCGAAGTTTTGGGGCAGTCAAGATGTCAGTCCAGAGTTGGCAACCCTAAAACCCTAAAACCCCAAAACCCCAAAAACCCAAAAACCCTGAAACCCCAAAACCCTGAAACCCTAAAACCTGAAACCCTAAAACCTGAAACCCTAAAGCCCTATAGTGAACACTGGCTAGGCCTGGTCGAAAGCTCCTTGCCGTGCATGGCCCATCGGTCGTTCATCATCCGACATCCAGGCCTGAATCGCTTACATGCTTAGGGCTTAGGGTTTAAGGTTTGGGGTTTAGGGTTTTAGGGTTCAAGGTTTAGGGTTTAGGGCTTAGGGCTTGGGGATAAACCCGATAAACCCGATAAACCCGATAAACCCTAAACCCTAAACCCTATAAACCCTAAACCTTAAACCCTCAACCCTCAACCCTCAACCCTCAACCCTCAACCCTCAACCCTCAACCCTCAACCCTAAACCCTAAACCCTAAATCCTAAACCCTGAACCCTGAACCCTGAACCCTAACCCTAAACCCTAAACCCTGAACCCTGAACCCCCCAAATGGCGCGGCCTTCGCAGCCTCATCGGCCAGCAGTTCCTCGCGGGCAGCCTGGCATGGGCCGGAGGCTGAGGGCCTGAAGGATTCAGGGTTTAGGGTTTAGGGTTTAGGGTTTAGGGTTTAGGGTTTAGGGTTTAGGGTTTAGGGTTTAGGGTTTAGGGTTTAGGGTTTAGGGTTTTTTTGCCACCATCCAAGCAGTCCAGCCGCACCGCAGGGTAGCATTTCTGGCGATGTACAATTTCAGATGTTGCATTACTATGTCTCCGCTTCCTTTTGCCCTGGTCCCACCAGGTACTGCTAGCTATACCAGGGTTTAGGGTTTAGGGTTTAGGGTTTAGGGTTTTTGGAGGTTGGCTCTCGAGAACGGTTTGTGCGTATCGCGATATCCTGAGTGGGTGAAGTCGCATGGTTGCATCGTCACTGTGCTGCCGGTACGTAGTTGCCTGTTATGGGTGTGATCGTTGAGGGTTGCTCTTGCCAGTCACCTACAGCAGGTGACGTCGTCGCACTGGAGCTGCAAAGAATCTGCCCAAATCGCGCCTCCACCAGCGACAAGTGCATGCCTCAGAACGGCCCTAAGTTCGCTAGACCCCTTCAAACCCCATGGGCCCTAGAAGCCCCAGAACCCTATCACCCCAAAGCCGAAAGCATTTCCAATCTGCAGCCCTTGCACGCCCAATGTGCGTGCGGACAAAGTCTGCTCCACGGAAGTGCCTCGGGCTCACGTTTGTTTTTGAAGTTACACGGTCCAGGGTCTTCAGACAACGTTGTGTCGGCAACTAGTCGATAGACAGTATGGGCAGGCCCAGAAGCTAATCTCTCCGAGCGGCTTGCCACAAAGCCTGCACTTGAACTTCTCATCCTTGATCTTCAATATTGCTTCTTCCGTCTCCTCTCAGGTCATGTATAGGCCCTACATGAACCCTCTAAACACGCCCCTACGGGTTTTCTTTTGCCATCGCCCCTATGGGTTTAGGGTTTAAGGTTGGGGTTGAGGGTTTCAGGTGTAGAGTTTGAACCCTTAAAACCTAAGCCTTAACCTCAGCCGGCCTTGGCTACGTGCTGGACAATGCGGGCATCAACGTGGTCAAGGACATCGGGCGGAGGATCCAAAAACCTCGGCACACAGAGTGACACAAAGGTACGCTAAACTAATATAGTATAGTGTAAGGCAATATACAACATTGTATTATATTTTTCATATATGTGTCTCTCTCTCTTTCTCTCTCTTGTATGATAATTCGCCGAGCCACGCATTGGCCAGAAAGCTCTCCAAGCGCTCTTCGTGTTCGGTGGACCAGGTTCCCGGTGTGCAACCCGGCTGTGCCGGCTCGCGAACGACAGCGACGCCGCACGCGTCGCGTAAGGACCACTCGTCGTCACACCAGCGCGCCATGTAGAAACAAAAGTGGTGGACCCTGCGCAAGTAGAGGATGCGTAGGTCCAGCTTGAATTCTGTGGAGCCATCCACATTGAGCACCAGGCTCGTGATGTCGGTCGGCACCCGCGCAAGGCTGTCAAGGCAACGGATCACTTTCTCGCTGAGCGTCAGATCCTTGAGAAGGCGCTCCGGAAGAGACATTTCCTTGCAGTCTCGACACCAGGTGCCCGCCAAAAAACTTAAGCCTCTGGAATGACACAACGTGCAAAGCCCAAGTGTCCTGAGGCAGCACACGGGCACCCAAGTCAGGCTTGGGGCTCAGCACCGACACGCGGCCGGCTCCCTCCATACCTGCAGGCACATGCGCCCGCTATCGGCGCACGTGCAGCAAATTTCTATCACGGTCCTGTGTCTGCCAAATCAGATTTCAAGGCCCGGCTTGGGGTTTTGGATCTACGCGGCAACGTGCCACAGGGCTTGGAGCTTAGGGTTTAGGGTTCAGGGTTTTATTGCCACTTGCCTAGCAAAAGCTCCATTGGGTTTGGGCTTTTGGGGCTTATCGGGTTTCGGGTGAAGCGGCACAAGTGTGATAGCTAGGGAATGTGTTGAGCACTAGTTGGTTCTGAAATCTTTCGGCCTTCTTGCAATAAGATACCTAACTGCAGATGATATCGAGAATCAGGGTTATCGAGAGTCAGAAGCCCCAGCCCCACGTGTATTGTCGACAATGAGCTGAAATGCCTTCTTCACTGGCACAGCCCCCACCTGGTGCGCTCAGGAGAGTATCCGAATTCCTCATGAGGATGACAGCGGCCGCGGTGGCATCCCCAGCTGAAGCGAACCTGTCAGGTGACACGGACACTCTGACTCTGCCGCACGGCCCCATGCCCACCTGGCATAGAAGTTACGCTGCAAGCTTGAATTAAACCGCGGCGTCCAGGCAGCAGTGCGAAACCCAGAGCAATCCTCCCAGAGGCACAGGCTTGCAACGCGCTCAAGTACGAACAGCATGTGGGGTCCTGGATGTGATCCAGGACATCCCATACACTCACTGCCGGCGGAAGGCCACCTTATCAATACAGCCGAGTCAGGACCTTCACTGCGTTCGCTCTCCAACATCCTGTCCTAGAAAAGCCAAGCCGCAAATCATCAAGGAGTCAACGTCAGGGTCAAAGGCAAACTCCGGTGATTCAAGATGGCCGGCCACAGGGCTCGTGGCCCCACGCCGCACCTGACCCGCTTGGAGGGACAACCCTCGGTACCTGGCCATTGGGAGCTGTCTCCACGTGAAAGCTGCACCCACAAAAACGTTGACATCATAAAACCGCAGCCCGTGCACAGTTTATAGTGAGCCATCCAAGCCCTTGGTTTCTGACAATGTTGTGTTCTCCTTCTCTCTGACTCTCTCTCTTCTCTCTTGGGTGCTCTGCGTATTGCGTTTCTGGTCTAGATCACTCTGATCGCGCCTTCCCGCTCGAAGGTCCTGCGCAAATCCTGCCGCGCCCCTCTGCGTCAGGCCAAGGTAGGTGTCAAATCGCCGGAGCCGGGCCAGAGGATGGTAGAGATCACGGAAAAGCCCCGTACCTTTGAGTGCCTCCAAGCCTTCCTTCATCGAGTTGCTGAGATGCTTCTGGAACATGTCCAGCACGCAGTCGGGAGAATCCTCATTGTGCACGTGCTTCAGGACAAAGTCGCGGAAGCTCGGCAACACTGACGTCACTGCCTTTCCTGGCTCTGAACCCTTTGTGCCCCGGGTCATCTTGGGAGGACTCGCCGGCGTCTCGTCCACAAGGCGCCGCGGTGCAGGCGGCTTCTGCGAAGGGGATCGGCTGGCAAAGCGGGGCCTGTGCTGCGAGCTGCGTGGGCTCGGGCTGCGTGCACGGCGCCGTGGAGTCTTGCTCCGGCGCCGGAATGCGCAAGGAAGGTTCTTGCCGGACTTGCCGCTCTTGCCAATGCCCTCTCAAGCAACAAGCATATGTGATCACAAGTGGTTGGGGGACTTCACACCGCACTGCAGGCTTTTGAAAGGGCCCCACCTTGCCGCCTCCACCCTTACAAGCCTTACTGGCTTTCACATCGCAGTCGCGGCCATCGGGATGTAAGAACCTGCTGAGGATGCGTTCTGGTGAATTATCAGCATAGTCACTGTCAAAGGTCAGCTGGGGCCATGGCCAGCAGGTGGTTCGAGTGCAGTTTCGGCCGAACCAGCACACCACCGTGTGCCGATTGGAGATTGAGGGGCCTGCATGCACAAGTTCTTAGAAGCCAAACCCAAGACCCGACAAACCAATACTAGCCTACTTCGGCCACAAAAGTGGGGCCGGGGCGGATTTCATGGCTTAAGGAGCGCCGACATTTTCGACCCACTTGAACCGTGACATGACCTGAGCCACCTGCTGCATAAGAGCACTTACTAAATGCCACTTCTGTGACGCTAAGCCCCCTAAACCTGACACCCTGAGCCCTCAACTCGGGCCTTTGAAGGCATTGCGAATCCAGGAGCGCCGGGAGCGGGAGCGGGACCGCCGCGAGCGCGAGCGCGAGCGCCGGGGGCGCGATGGCGACCGCGCTGGGCTTGTCGGCCGCTTGCTGGCCTTGGGCACCAATGCCCCAAATCTGCATCAGCATACCGGACAGTTCCACACACAAATGGTTTTTCCGGAGCACTTGTCCCTGCAGTCCCTAAAGACATTTCCTAGTAACTTCGATGATTCCTGCCATCAACCACCACCGGCCTCGCCTTGCGAGCCTCAATATCCGAGCCAGCACTGCTCTCGACCTCCGTCGCTTCGGAGGAACTGTCGGTGTCACTGGCCACGAGCACCTGCAGAGGGTTTTATAGGGCTTGGGGTGGTTAAGGTTGCTCTAGGTGGTGGGCTTCTTGCCTGAGCTTGCCAACCCTCAACCCGTGTATGCTCTGAACCCTAAGTCCTCTAAACTCTTTAAATCAAGGCCTCCTTCCCCTTGCATTGGTCCTCTTTGGCCGATACCCTGGAGGGACTTTGCACCATGGCTTTAAGGGCACGCGTGCGGATTCACAATCGTTCAGTTCGAGCCTGGCAGCTTCTCCGCGAAAGCCTTTCTTTACTTTAGGGCTTAGGGTTTACGGTTTAGGGTTGCTTCTCGTTTCCTGAGCCCAGAACTACCCCACTGGCACAGACTCAGAACTCCGAGCCCCGAGTCCCCAAGGTCTCCTGCCCATAAAACACTTAAGAAAGTCTGAACCTTCGCTTCAGGGGCATACGGAGGGACCCCTAGAAGGGACCCTTAAACTTGTTCCCCTAGAGAACCCATGTATAACCCCTATATATATATATATATATATACCTTAGAAAGTCCCTAAGACCTAAGTAGCCCCTGGAAAACCCTAGGGTCCCTCCTTTAGTCCCTTGACTCACCAAAGCCCACGACATGTCCATGGCTGCAAGGCTCGGGTAGCTTTTCCCATAGTGAGGAAACCCTACTGTATTCGTTGCGACATATACATACATATGTATATATATACACATGTATATGTATGTGCGTGTGTCCATGATCGAGAATATGGCAAAAAAACCCAAAAAAAAAACGACATGTTCAGTTCCCCACCAGCGTTATCAGCTGGAAATAGAAACTCCAAGCTTCCAGTGAGGCTGCAGCGCCAGCGAGTTCTGGCTCCACTCCTCCAGATCGAAATGTCTGGAATAAGAGCTTGGGTAGTTTAGGGTTGAGGGTTTAGGATTTAGGGTTTATGTTTAATCGCTTGTATGAGTTCTTTGGCCACACTAGGCCAAGCTTAGGCAGTGTTTGCGCTCACGACCTCACCCAGACCCGGACCTCCCCTCATGTCATGAACTCCTGGCTGCGGGTTGAGTAGGGTTAAGGGCCCCTAAACCCTAAACCCTTAACAACTTCCAGCGGCGTCCTAGGACTCTGGAGGTGTCGAGAAGGTTCAGCGCGGAATCCCACCCAAGCTGACCGCCTGCAGCATCCGTTCCCGAGATGCGGGTTTTAGGGTTTAAGGGCTTAGGGAACCTGTGCCAACAGCAAATGACAGCCATGGCGTTTAACTTCGCACCCTGCCATGAATAGACACCCTGCCAAAGCCAAACCCTTCGACTCTTGTGCCTTCACAATCTGACGATGTTTTGAGCTTTAGGGCTTCGGGCTTAGGGTTTAGGGTGTGGATGCTTAGGGTCTTGCCTCTTGTTTTTTGAGCCCTGAACCCTTATATAAGCCCTAACACCCTAAACCCTAAACCCTAAACCTTAAACCCTAAACCCTAAACCCTCAAACGGGGGGTTCTGGCCTACGGCGCTCATCAGGGAGTCAAGTGTCCTGGAAGAGCCAGGGCGGGGTGTTATCGGGTTATCGTAGGGTTGCTGTAGGGTTGTTATAGGGCTACGCGTTGTTTATGGGGTTCTTGATGAACTCTTGACGGTTCTTGCATTTAGGGCGGGGAGATGCTTGCTCTCCGAGGGCGCGGAGTTCGGGTTCAAGGCGCGGGCTCAGTTTTTGTGAAGTTGGAGATTTCTGGTCTGGCATTCGAGCTGCGAGCGCTTGGGTCTTTGCATTTTTGTTGGAGTATAATATAAATATATATATATATACACATATATATAGGGCTGAAGGGGTTGGGGTTACGAAAGGGATTTGGGGTTTGGAGACTTGGGATTTAGGGTTGGGGCTGCGGGTTTCTGGAACAGGGAGGAGCCCACGTTGATGGCTCAGTTGCCCATACCCCTCACACAGATTCCCCAGGTTCTTGAGAAGGGTTCTCAAACCCATGGGTACAACAGTGGTACAACCTCAGAGGTCCAAGCTAGAATCCTTGGAAACGCTTCTTTCCGCACCCAGGCATCGTTCGAAGCCCGTGTTTGCATCTGGGCTCATTTGAAAACCTGTTTCCCCCAAACCCTAAACCAGGGATCTGCTTTGCCACCGAAATCTCGTGACAGCCCATCACCGAAGACCCCTAACACCTCCAAACCCGGAGAACCCGACCTACAGCGCAACCTAAACCGCAACCCTTAACAACAATTGCAAAACCCGCTGCTGGGCTCCGGGCCAGGCATCTGCTTGAAGCCCCATGTAGCGTGCCGAGCAGAGCAAGGAGGATGCCTAGAGAGCTGCATTTTCAGGCTCTCCCCTTTGGGCTACTGCCCCTGCTAACTCTTGTGCAACCACTTGGAACAGCACTGAGGACCCGGGGGGGGGGGGAGGGCGGACTGTATGATTCGTTTAAGGTGAACTGAGGTTGCCTCTACTAGGGCCGAGCGCGGCCTGCGCTTATTTTTTGGGGGTGCTGGCAAGGCATCCCGGTCTGCTGAGGGTTCAGCAGACCGGGATGCCTTGCCAGCACCCCCAAAAAATAAGCGCAGGCCGCGCTCGGCCCTAGTAGAGGCATGAAAGGCTACAGGGCCAGGCCTCCACACCCTAAATGCTTGAACTCTGCAAGCCCTGAAAAGGCTCAAGGCCTCATAAGTTGGGACGTTCCCCCTTATACTGTAACAGTACTGTAACAGTCCTTCATAAGGATTCTATAGTACCCACTATCATCCCAATTCAGGACTGTTCGTATAAGGCTTGGGGTTCCTTGTGAAGTTCGACCACCCACCGCACGATCCTCGAGCCAGCGGCCCCCGGCAGCGCAAGCACTGATGGCAGAGTTCACACCTGCCGGGATCTTGGGAAGAAACCTTCGAAAGGCCGCTAGGGTTTAGGATTTAGGGTATAGGGTTCAGCATCTCAAGTCCGAGCATTCACTAGTCGAGCAGCTTGTCAAGGGCTGGAATAAAACCCCACCCACCCAAGAAACCCATAACATTGAGAAAATACAAAGTCCACTCAATACATTCCCAGTAGGCTTAAAGCTCAAGGTCCAATTGGCCGAAAAACCAAAATCTAATTCTCAAACCGGGGAGGGTGGGGTGGGGGGTGCATTTGGGGTGGTTTTGGAGGCAAACTTTCCCTAGGGCCCCCCCCTGGGGGAAAACAACCGTTTGGTCACGAAGGGGGTCAGGGTTTAGGGCCCCCACGGGGGGAAAAAAACCATTTGGTCACGAAGGGGGTCAGGGTTTAGGGCCTTCCCGGGGGGAAAAAAACCATTTAGTCACGAAGGGGGTCAGGGTTTAGGGGCCCCCCCGGGTGGAAAAAAACAATTTGGTCACGAAGGGGGTCAGGGTTTAGGGCCCCCCCGGGTGGAAAAAAACCATTTGGTCACGAAGGGGGTCAGGGTTTAGGGCCCCTCCCGGGTGGAAAAAAACCATTTGGTCACGAAGGGGGTCAGGGTTTAGGGCCCCCCCGGGTGGAAAAAAACAATTTGGTCACGAAGGGGGTCAGGGTTTACGGCCCCCCCGGGTGGAAAAAAACCATTTGGTCACGAAGGGGGTCAGGGTTTAGGGTTTAGGGCCCCCCCGGGTGGAAAAAAACCATTTGGTCACGAAGGGGGTCAGGGTTTAGGGCCCCCCCGGGTGGAAAAAAACCATTTGGTCACGAAGGGGGTCAGGGTTTAGGGCCCAAAGGCTCGGTTTTGATCAAAAATCCAGAAAACGAGAGCCCACCCAGAAGCGTCGATTTCAGTACTAAAAAATCGCATTTTGAACTGGGACCCGGGCCGATCCTGGGGTCCCCCTCATTTGGGGTGTTTTGGAGGCACGGCCCAGGAAAAAAAACAATTTGGTCACGAAGGAGGTCAGGGTTTAGGGCCCAGAAAAAAAAACAACATGGTCACGAAGGTCATTAGGGTTTAAATATACATAGTAAGAGAGGGTTTAGGGTTTAGGGTTTAGGGTTTAGGGTTTAGGGTTTAGGGTTTAGGGTTTAGGGTTTAGGTCACTAGGGTTCAGGGTTTAGGGTTTCGATGCTTACTCGCAGAAAGGCTTCAGGGTGTAGGGTTTAGGGTTTAGGGTTTAGGGTTTTGGGTTTAGGGTTTTGGGTTTAGGGTTTAGGGTTTAGGGTTTAGGGTTTAGGGTTTAGGGTAAACTGGCAAAGGAAACTTCTGAGGCTGAAGCTGATGGTGTCCATCTGAAGCCGGGCCATGGCAGCTTCCTGGGTTCCGAGGCGCCCGGAGTGGGAAAGGTTTCGCACGCCCTCAGCAGCTGGGGACTCATTAAGCCCATGGTGTTGTACGAATACCCCCTAAACCCTAAACCCTGAACCCTAAACCCTTTTGCAACGAGCTTGGCTATGCTCCCGCCCGGCTTAGCTGTAAACCCTAAACAACCCTAAACCCTAAACCCTAATCTCTAACTTATGGGAATCGAGTCCCAACCTTCAAGAGGCCCATCTGCACAGCAACTGGGAACACACAAAATCTTGGCAAAGGGGTGCCCTGAATCCCGCTTCGCAAAGCCAGTTGCTCGGCAGCTTCGGATGGCCACCTGCATACCAGGGGCCGGGGTTTAGGGTTTAGGGTTTAGGGTTTAGGTCACTAGGGTTCAGGGTTTAGGGCTTAGGGCTTAGGGCTTAGGGCTTAGGGCTTAGGGCTTAGGGCTTAGGGCTTAGGGCTTACGGTTTAGGGTTTCGGGTTTCGGGTTTCGGGTTTCGGGTTTCGGGTTTAGGGGATTGACAAAAGGCACTGGTTTTGCAGCCGGAATGATTCCTACACAGGAAATTTTGCAGCCGGAATGATTCCCACACAGGCAAGGGCTCAAGTTGCTGTGGCACTTTCTACAAGTGTAACACTCGTAAAATGGCGTTTTCTTTAACATTGATGCAACACGTCGTAGTGAAAGTGTCGGAGGGTTGCGAGTTATGAATCATTGACCAAGGACTAGACTGTAGACAGCTCAAGTCAGACAAAAGGCACCCTTGAACCCCTAAACACAGGCTCTGGCCCCTGCATGAACCTCGAAGCATCGCATCTAACCGTATCTAACCCTTTGGGCCTTCCATGCTCCACCACGCTCCTTGACAAGGGCTGCTGAACTTGCAGGGTTTCGCTCCAGGTGGAAGTTTTTCGGGGTCAAAGGGTGACGAAATCCGCTCACCGGCCCAAACCAAAGCAACCTTCCTGAAACCCTCGGGTCCAAGTTGCGCAAGCGCTGAGAAGTGGGTTCAGCGTAACCACGGATTTCCCACTGAATGAACTCAGTCGCGTCAAGGACATCTGCCACAAGTCCGACAGTGCCTTTGCTGGCTTGCCATCCACGCAAACAAAAAAAGTGGGCCGAGGCTGATCATGGGTGTTTCCGTCCAAGCCACATGGCCCATGATGAATGCGGCATCCGTAATTGCTGTCGCAAGCAAGCCTGCGGCCTGGAACGCGTGAGCCTTGCTCTGGCAACGGCTCGACATCCAAACAAGTAACGCATCAACAAGAACCCGAACCAAACGGAAATCCCAGCTTTCAACAAAAACGTGCCAGTCCCGCTTTTGAAATAAGGAGCCATGCCCAGCGTAGTTTCCCAGCATTGGGCGCGAACACATTTGTTCAATGGAACATTCATGGCCACTGCATCAACACGGGTTTCGGCGAGGGCCATATCTCTCAGCATTCGCAACGCCCATGGCCAACCAGCCTCAACAAAAATTCTATGTCGCATACCACGATTCATCTGAAACTGAGAGGGTCCTACAACGTGACAGCCGATTCGGCATGCACACGCATGAAACTTTTGCCAGCCTCGAAGAAAGGGTTCTGTCCCCAGCTGTCGTCCGTTGCGCCCATCGCGGCCGTGAAAATCTCGGCCGTTAATTGCAATGAACATTGCTGCATCTGCGACCTGGCGGGTCACCGGGTAATGTACTAGTAGTTCAAGTAATGTGACGACTGTTGGCACTCCGTGTGTTGTATTGCCCTTATAAAGTACAGGGCCCCCATTAACATTAATTCCTTGAAGTGTGCCCGGCGGGTCAAGCACAGTCCGTCATAAACACAAGTTCTCCGAACATTTTCTGACTGACACCCCGCCAAGTGGCAAGAGCTGTTGCGCAATGCCTGCTTCTTGTTGCCGCGCACTGGCGCTGATTGCTGGAAGAAAGCTGAGCTCCGTTGCAAATCGCATGTAACCCACAATGACCATGGCCTGTTGCGCAACTGTGCCAGCTACGAAAATCACGCACGCGGTTTTGCAGCTCAGACTCACACGGCGCCTCTTCCCATCGCGCTGCCGCCGCGCACGTGTTCAACACACCGTTCCGCAGACGTGTCATGGGCTCTGCATATGCCTGCGCGCAAATCTCAAAAGAATGGTATGTGGCTGATTGACGACCCTGCGACGTTTTTCCTCATAGGCGTGTTTCTTACCTGTAAAAAATCAGAATCTATTTCTTTCAATCTAACTTTCCATAGCATCGGTTTCCTCCCTCCGTTGGAAGTCTGCGACGCTTTATCACACCGACGGTGACAAAATAAGAGGGCGGCAATGCTCGGAATGAAGATTTCTGCCTCAACCACTCGTACATGCGAAAACCAATCAGCCAGACTCCTCAATACTGCAACAGTTACCCTATAGCCTACAGCCAGCATCTTTCTCCTGTCTCTGCGCGGTTTTGGGGATTGGCTCGGTGTGGCCATGACTGTTTCAGGGATGGACGCGCAGCACGCCATTCACATGCCGTTTTTGCGCACGTGGCCCGGACACGTTGAACCACGCATTGCTTGAATGCTCCGCGCATGCTTTTTTGAGACGAAATGGAGATCCCGAGTTGGCACAACCCCAGTCTTGTGTTTGCGAAGTTTTTGTTTAAACACGCATGCCGCCGTAAACACAACGAGAATCAGCGAGACACATTGTGTACAATGTGCAACTTGTGGCATCAGTTGGCCAAGCCGCAGAGGCATGTGAGATATGACACGATGTGACTCTAATTCAAATTGTTGCATGGTGCTTTTGAAGGCGACGCGAGGACAGGTTGTTTTTTTATTTGTTTGTTCTCCCCGCCCTGCCGAAGCTGCGAGGCCGTATTAGCCAACCTTCTCCCAAAGAATCAGACAAAGTGGGTGTGGACAGGTTGGTTGCTGCTGTATATTTGACGGATCTTGACGGCAAACACGCACAGCGCTCTGAGGAACAAATTGGAACCCAGAACGGCCGAACCGGTAACCAAATAACCAGAACGGCTGGAAAAATTATAGAAAAAGAACGGCCGTGCGCGTGCTCGCAGGCGATTGCGCTTTCCCCTGCCCATCAAGCACGCCAGTGCGGCTCGCCCGGATTCGGCGGAAACGTGGACGCGTACGGCGACCACGCCTTGGCATGCCCTCGCACAGGGCTGTTAGCGCGGCGGGCCAAGGTGGTGGACAGGGCGTGGGTGCGCATAGTGCGGGGGGCTGTGGGGCCCGAAGTCGGCACCCGGGGTCCCCGCCGAAGATCGGCGCCGATTGGATCTCATCGTCAACGGCGCCACCCCACTGGGTCTCGCCTTGTGCTGCGATGCCACCCTTGTGTCCCCGCTGACGCGCACTGGTCTACCACAGCCTCGCGCGGCGGAGAGCGATGGGGCGGCGCATCTCGGCGGGCATGGACTTCGGCCGCTGCCGCTGCACCATATCCTGGGGCCGGGCGGCCCATGTGGCCTCGAGGACACGAGCGTGTGCAGCAGAAAAGGAGCATTGGAAAAAACACACGACGCAGGGTGCATGTGTGTTTATAGCGTGTTTATTGGTTCGTCCCAAGCGGGGTTGCGTGGTATATTGCGCTCTGATGAGTTCTTGTCTGTCCTGTGGCGCCAGCGCCTTGAGCGGCCCTCACCGCAGACCGGACCGCACGCCGTGCTGCTCCTGCGCCGCCTGCGGCTCCGCTGCAGCTGGCGCCGCGCACCTGCCGTTTCCACGGCCATTTGGATGCCCTGGGGGACCACCGGTCAGCGTGCGCAACTTCCGTTGTCCTGGCCTTTTTTTGCATTTTTTTCGTTGCCGCTTGAGCGCGCGGTTGCCCGTGCGAAACGGGAGGGCGGGTATGCCACAACGTGCGTAGGAATGTCGATGTGCTCATCGCAGATCGCATTGAGGTTGTGGCCAACGGCCTTTCGCTGTGGAACGGAGCACAGCTCGCCTTTGACGCCACCATCGTCAGCTTCGTCACCCACAGGGCGGAGGCGCAGCTGGGTGCTGATGTTCGCCCGCAGCGCACCGTAAGCGACAGCAGACGTGCCCCGAGCTCGTGCGCCTGCCGGCGCTGCTGCTTGGTGGTTGGTGGCCGGTTTAGGCCGGGGAGTGCTGCGCAAACGAGCTCGCTCCGCTCCTGCCCTTCGCCAGGCAATTTTATGGCTCTGAAAGTCGCTACATCTGGGTTGACGACGCGGGCAACAACCACATCATCACGCAGGGCGAGGGAGGCGAGCAGGGGGACCCGCTCATGCCGGCCCTGTATTCCCTCGCGCAGCACGGCGCGCTGGAGGCTTTCGCTCGTCAGATGCAGCCCGGAGAAGCCGTCCTGGCCTTCCTTGACGACACATATGTCGTTTCTAATCCGGAGCGCACCCGGCCGGCGCGCGACGCCCTGTCAGCTGCCCTGTGGCACCATGCCCGGGTGCGCTTAAACGAGGGCAAGACGCGAATCTGGAACGCAGCCGGGGAGGAGCCGCCGGGCATTGCTGACCTGCAGCCTCCCGATGCAGATCCCCTTTGGACTGGCTCGTGGTCCTTGCCCAGGGAACGCCAGGGGATTGCAGTGCTTGGAGCTCCGCTTGGCAGTGATGAGTTTGTCCGCTGCCAACTGCAGGCCAAGCGTCAAGCCCACGACCGGTTGCTGGAATGCATCCCCGGTTTGGGTGACCTGCAAGCTGCGTGGCTGCTCCTACACTTCTGCGCTGCGACTCGGGCCAACTTCCTCCTGCGCATGTTGCCCCCCGTCTCTACGGCCGAGTTCGCCGAGGCCCATGACGCGGCAGTCACCCGCTGCCTCGGGCGACTCCTGTATGGCGACGAAAGCGCGCCCATCCCCCCCGCGGCCTGGCGTGTGCTGCATTTGCCCCTGCGCTTCGGCGGCCTGGGCTTGCGTTCCGCCGCTGAGACTGCCCAGAGCGCCTGGTGGGCGTCTTGGTTCGACTCGCTGCCCGCCATCCGCGTCCGCGCTCCGGACGTCGCGGAGCGCCTCGTGCAAGGGCTTGAGGCGCAAGGTGGTAGCGAGCCACCTTCGCTTGTGTCCGCCCGCACTGCGGCAGCACTCTTGCGCGGACGCGGCTTCGAGGTGCCGCCGTGGCACTCCTTCTCGCCCGTCCCCCCGGGCGATGGCGAACGTGACGACCCCTTGCGGGGGTGGCAAAGGCGTGCGGCCATGGTATGTGATGAGCGCGCGCTCGAGATGCACCTTTCAGACCTTGACACCGCATCTCGTGCGCTGCTGCTGTCGCAGGCCGGGCCGCACGCCGGGCGTGCCCTCACAGTAAGGCCGACCGCCACGGAGCTCCTCATCCCGCCGGCCCAGTTCCGGGTGCTGCTCCTACGCCGCCTGCGGCTCCCGCTGCAGTTGGCGCCGCGCACCTGCAGCTGCCACGGCCATTTGGATGCCTTGGGGGACCACCGGTCGGCGTGCGCCACCTCCGGTGTCCTGGCCCCTCGGGCATTGCCGCTTGAGCGCGCGGTAGCCCGTGTGTGCCGGGAAGCGGGAGGGCGGGTGTGTCACAACGTGCGCCTGGCAGATATGAATGTCGATGTGCCCATCGCGGACGCACGTCGCATTGAGGTTGTGGCCAACGGCTTGTCGCTGTGGAACGGAGCGCAGCTCGCCGTTGACGCCACCATCGTCAGCCCCGTCACCCGCAGGGGGGAGGCGCAGCCGGGCGCTGATGTTCGCCCCGGCCAGGCCGTCGATGCCGCGGCGCGCCGTAAGCGACAGCAGACGTACCCCGAGCTGGCGCTGCCGCTTGGTGGTCGTCGGGGTCGAGGTAGGTGGCCGCTTTGGTGCCGAGGCCGCCCGCTTCCTCCGCCTTCTGGCCCGGCACCGGGCCGACGGTGTTCCCGCCGCACTCAGACCGGCGGCGCAAGCGGCGTGGGTCGCGCGCTGGGCTGGGTTCTTGGCGGTGGCGGCGCAGCGCGCGTATGCCAGCTCCCTTCTTGAGCTGCCGCTGGCCGGGGAGTGCTGCGTCGGCGGAACGACGCCAGACCTGCACGAAGTCCTGGCCGACGCACGCTGGCTGGCGCCCCCGCAACCCAGCCGCCTGCCGCTGCCCCAGCACTAGGCAGCCCCGGGGCGAGCGGAGCGCCTCTTGTAGGGTCGACCCTCTGACCGTCGTCTGCAGTTGCAAAAAGGCGCGAGAAAAAAAAAAAAAAAAAAAAAAAAACGCCCGACGCGCGCTGGCTGGCATCGTGCTGGCATGCATGTTTTTCGCACCAACACGGCGTGATCATCGCGCGGGCATGCTGGCCACTCGCACCCACTGGTGTCAGGGAACAAAGGCCCGCCCTCAGAGCACTGGTGTCACATCTTTTTGTTACGAAGCCTCTACGCCGCCCTCGTCGCTGCCGGCCAAGCTCGCCCTGCTGCCGACAGCGCCATGGCTCGCTGCACCGCGACGGACAGGCGTGTCCTCCACATCCATAATCATCGTACTAGCATGGATCTTTCTGGCCATTCGCACGCACTGGTGACGCGCATGGGTAACACGGACGTGATCATCGTGCGGGCAAGGCAGCCATTCGCACGGACTGGTGACCCGCACATCATCATGTGCTGGCATGATCTGGCATGGAAGCTTTTGACTCAGCTACTACGTGAGCTCGCAACACGAGTTCGGCGAGCATGGTGAGCAGCCCGGAACGCGAGCAAGCCGAGAGCATCATTGCATTGCATTGGGGAACTGCAACCGGTAGCAGGTGTTTTTTTTTCTGTTTTTTGGGCGCACGCCTTTTTGCAACTGCAGACGATGGTCAGAGGGCCACCTACGAACTCATAGGGGGGGCGCACAAAAAACGCTCGGCTGGGGCAGCGGCAGGCGGACGTGCAAGTACTAACACCGACAGTGGGGGGAGAACAAAGTTGCGCAGGGTTGCGCTATACAGTGCTGGCGTTCGCACGCTCCCACAAACAGGCATGTTGCAAAGACCCCAAATCCTGGGGCGTAGTATGCGCGTCAAGCCAAGAAGACGCCGACGCTGGTGAGCCTGCAGAATCAGATGAAACTCCCGGGTGCTAGCTGCAGGTACGTGCGTATTTGAAGTTGCCCACACACGAACCTGTGATGGCTGCCCCAACCTAGCACAAGCAACC